CCGTGGGGCCCCTGCCTTCCTCCGATGCTCTCCTCCTCCTCCTCCTCTTCCGTGCACGGCCGTCCCTTTGGCCCCTGCTGCAAAAAACATTAACCAGCGCCGGCAGCGAGCGGAGCCAGCCCAGGCAGCCAGGGATGAGCTCTTACCCCTTCCCGTGGCTCTGCTACTTCCCGACGAAGAAGAAAAATCAGGCAGAATGGAGAAATTCAAAATAGGGAGGAAATGCTGCTTTTCTCCCCGGCTCGGTGCCCAGCAGAGAACAAACAGCCCAGCTGGGGCCAGCGGGGACTCGCAGCCTCCCGGGCTCGTTCGGCACTGGCTGGAGCCGTCAGCTGGATGCCAGAAAGCAAACACGGCAAGGAAAGGCACCATCTGACCCTCCTGCCGGAGTTCCCAGCAGTTACATTTTAAGAGCAGAATTAAAATAAATTTACACGTTTCCTAAGCCAGACCCACGAGCTCAAAGTGAAGGTGGGAACACCAAAAAAATTTAATTTACAGGGGGTAGGAAAAGAAACGTTTAGATCTCCCAGCCTGAAGGTTTATTGTTCCTCCTGCCCAGGACTCACCCCCGAAATTAGGGCCTGTTTGGGCAGGATACGCAGGCAACGCAAGTTCTTTAAAGGCGGCTCTGAAGGGCCTGATTCAGCTATCTCGGAGAAGCAGAGGTCGGGGTGGAGCCAGGGTTTGGCTGCCGGTCGGTGGGGTTGGGGTCCGAGCAGCATCGTGGTCCCTGCAGCGTCCCCCGGGCAGCACCGCCTGCCCACGGCCCCATGGAGCCCTGAGCAGCCCGGGGAGGGTGTTTCGGGGGGCTTTTAGCATTCAACAGCGCCACGACCCTGGGAAGTGCCCCCGCTGCTCCCCACCACCCCATGCCTCTGCTCTTGCATGCTGAACGCACCGTGCTACCCAGTCTGCATCCAAATTCCCCCAGTTTGGGAAGGGTTTGAATAGGGGGGGTTCACTTGTTCCAGCATCAGCCCATGTCTCAGGCAGCATTTCTCTCCTCCCAAAGTTAAAACTGGTTCTAAGTTTTAAAGAGAGAGCCCCAATTCCTCCAGACTTCTCTACAGACTAATTGCTCAAAATAACCACAGAGATGCAAACAAGTCTAAACTCCTGTTTGCAGTGGGGTGTTTCTGTTTGACAGGCCAGAACCATTTCATCAGCCTGTACTAATTATAAATACGACCTTTGGGTTAGACCAGACCTAAAACAATACAAGCCCAAGTACGCATTCAGCAGCCCGAGCCGTTCACCAAGCTCAGGACGGACGGCAGAGCAAGCAGCCGCGACTTCAGTCCCTCCGAGCCCGAGGGCCTGATGCAGCTGCAGAGCAGGC